AGGCCTGATATTATAACAGGTTGCAGAGGCCTAGACAGAACCTATAGATCAAAACTCATTGTCCACAAAATTTCGCAATATATCCAACCACTTTTGATAAACTGGATAATGCTGGCCGAAACTGCGGATTGATGAGGTCCTCCCTCGAGTGACGACGAAACGTTCTTAAGCTACTACTCGTAGCCAAACTGTCGTGTTCAAGCCCTGTCCGGAAGGTCGCGGGTTCGAAACTCTCTGAATATCGTGAGAGGCGCACTGCTAATCATTCTCAGTGAGGGTGAAAAAGCTGTAATGTGCTCCTGGAAGACAAACTGTTGTTGCCTTTCGAAGATCTCGCGCGCACTGCTGGGTGTCACCTCATCGTTGACTGGTAAACCGTCTATCCGACACTGGCAGTTCCGGGTCTCAAACTCAGTGCTCAATGTATTCCACAACCTCATCGTGAATCTTGTCACGTCCACAATGTATTTGCTGTTCTCCTGTTATACTACCCGAACTACTTGAGAATAACTAATGTCCTACTGCAAAACCCCTAAAGCGTATTCAGGCGCAGTGGAATGTCAATCGTACAATCGTTCACCTGTAACCGAGGTGCCACCTGAAAGGAGCATGAGGGTTGTGATTAGGCCTGGCTGCCCAAGCCTAGACAGAAGAGTCAGGATGCCAAGGTCGGGTTCGAACCACGCACCTTCCGTCAGGAGGTTCGGGCCTCAGGCCCTCAGCTATCTCGAGCTCAGTGGGATATCAAAACGTGATCGGTACATACCTTCGGCCAACCTATCAAGTCCGTGAATAGTACACTTTCCCTCTGAGGACGCTGTCGGGTGCCAAACTCGCCCAATCGTCGGAATTCAAAATTGCGCTTCCGTGTACTACAATCCTCCGACAGTTCGTCCTTCAGTAGACGGTCCGTTACAGGGTAATATGAAACTAATATTTCCAAATGGACAAACTGACCGTATCTGACGCTGAATTTGCGCGTCTTCCCTTTTCGCACTGTTCTAAACACCTCCTTCTATTCCACTGTAATTTTACTTGCTGAGAATTACCCGCTGCAGCATGAAACACTCGAGATAGCTCAGTGGTTAAGAACCGAACTCACCTACCGATCGGATTCCAACGCAACCTGAGCATCTTGACTTCTCTTGTCTAGGCTTGGACAACCTGACAGTACTTCATCCACCGTACTGCTAGCTACAGAAAGGGTGTCACTTGGAAAGTTCTCTCCGGCTGAATCAATAGAGCAGAGTTCATAAGTTCGGAACTTTACCGAATCGGTCCACATTGCAGCAGATTATGGCATTCAGTATGCTGAAATTCTAAAAGTATGCGCCCATGGTTTCAGCCAGGGTTCTTCCCCACGTCAGCAGCGCGGTCTATTTTCATTATCAAGTATCTGACGCCAAATATGAGGATCCCATTAAGACCACTTGACGGTGCCTGAAGAAACATCATCAAATAGTAACTACTCACAGGGTTGCTGAAAACTCTTCGGCAGCCCTCGACCGGTTTCGCCCTTCTTGGGGCTCATCAGGTAGGCGCAGTCCCCAAGTTCCCGTCAGTCTTATGTTCTACTTGGTATTTTGGGGGTTCGTTGCTTTGACTCTTTTGCTTCGCAAATTTTGCCGGATCCCGTAATTTGAGAGAGATTTCGTTAGCCCGACAACTTTGCTTAGATGATATCTCTGGCAGATATCCTCGACGAAATTATCCCGTTTTGACAGCATGCACAAAACTGACAGTTACGATCTGATTCTGTAAAAGGCATTCGTTCCCCTTGGCATAGGGGACACAGAGAATTATTGAAGGAACTGTTGCTAACATGGATGGTGACAAGGGCAGTCGAGTGTACTCAGTCGAAGCTGTGGGAACCGTCCAAAGCATCTGCTGAAACTAGGATCACGGCGTACCACTTGCAGGTTGCTCAAAACAAACGCACATTTTGTACAAAATATCTCGTCTGCAAAGTTTGTTGAGAGCGGGTTTCCTTCTGCTTTTGGACGGTGAATTGTAACCGACGATTTGAACAACCGTTTTATTGCCGAGCTGAATTGATGATAAGGGCACTGATGTTGCTCTTGTGATGAGGTTGGATAGCCCCAATGAACGGTAAGCCTGCCGGTATCCTAATCAACGCAACAAACATCCTACTGACAGCGTGACCAAGTAGTATAAAATTATCCACTCATTTAACCAACCCAAGAAACGAAGTGATAAAGGGAAGGGCTAGCGAAACACACTCATTTGCAAACAAATTTGGTTTTTCGACAGACTTATCTGGAACCCAACTGAATCCCCTGTTTATGATGTTTTAAGAATCTTTTGTTGATCACTGGAATGCACCAGGATGACGAACAAAATATATCAGTCAGTTGTCCATCGGTTCGTCCCAACCATCCCTCAAGTTAGGGTAAATTAATTACACATGAAGTTAAGATCAATTTACTGAAGTCAACGAGACCTAACTTCGTGTTATGTAAGGATGTAGATATAGGACTCCGACTAAGGAGCGTTTTTTTTAAATAATTCCTGCGAATAGCGGAGATATTCAGGTTAGTACGAATGCACAGTCAACCTACTGACGATTGAATTCACTAAACAGTATACATTCCTTTCAAACACCCGTCAACATCGATCGTGCCTCTATGAAATGCCTGAACGCCCATCACATTCGGTCGTGCTTCTGTGGCGCGCAAGAACACTCATCAGCTTTTGCTGAATTGATTTTGACTGAATGATTGACTGGCCTGGATGCTTGCCGGCTTTCCTGTTGAGATTTTGGTGGAGCAGTAGGTTCCGGGCGTTCTGAGGTTACTCTCAGGAATCTGACCTTCCTGATACTATCAAATTCTCGTTTATTCCGCAGTGAAGTCCTTCCTGTTATCTGGCCGACATCGACGTCTGGCCTGTTGAAGAGATCACACAGGGGACCCCAATTAGACAAAGACGTGGGAGATCGTAGGTGATAGAGAGCCTGGTTGGCAGAGAAATTGCCCGGTAAGCGGGACGTACGTAGTCCGGTTTTACCTCTAAGCCTGTCTTTCCCTTGGTGTTCTTAAACCTCGCATTTGAAAACCTGTGAAACTGTCGTCTATCAAAAACAAATATCAACAAATCCGTCGTCGTTAAACTTCAAATCACTCTCGTTTGAACAGTCGTGCTCCTGTCCTGGAGCAATTATTCTGGTGAATCCACACCAAACGGAGAGAAGCACTGGTGTGTCGGGCATACTAAGCGCATCGCTCAGCCGTCCAACGTGCGCTGGTAGAATAGTGGTAACACGTTCGCCTCGCATGTCAGGTGCCCGGAGTTCGAACCTCGGCACGGCCATCGGATATGCACTGCTGATGAGCTGTAACAAGAGCGAAACTCGAGTCCAGTGCTTCCCCCTCTTTGGTGTGGATTCACCTGAATAATTGCGCCAGGACAGGAGGACGGCTGTTCAAACAAGAGTGATGTAAAGTTGAACAATACACCTCTCGCAAACTGCACATGCATCAAATCCGTCGTCAATAACCACATGAACTACAACGCGCACTTGAAGTCCTGTAACTACGTTCAGTGCCGAAAGCGGAACACTCAGTTCAATAACACCACTCGTAACTTCCAGAACGTCTCGAATGAAGCAAAGGAAGGGCAACGGGGACCCCATCCCTGAACAGTATCCGAGCTTTCCGCAACTTTCTTTCACATCACACTTTGCTCACATCTCGGTTTTTGCCAATCTGAATCTAGTGTAGAGAAAACGTTTTCCTCGACGGGTAAGAAAACAGTGTGCGTTGCACACGACCGTGGCACCACAGCTTACAGTGCTGTTTTGAATTTATTGTGGACCACAGTTCCTTAATGCCTTATTACCGTGAATCCCGGTCTGGATAGCCGATTGATCGCTTGGCCAAACCCGAAAACGTCAACGAACGTGCGAGTCAGCCGCTCTATTGATCATTGTCGCGTACAAGCGGTCAAAAAAAAGTGATACTAAGAATACAACTCATCTGTCAAGGACGAGTGAAGAACAATCAATGAAGTCTCTCTCAGCGAAAAACGGTTATTCCATTGGCTGTTATGTAGTTCCGTTACGTTCGGAGCTGGTTCTCCCAATAGAATTCGAAAATCAGGTAGATACCTGATGTTTCACCCGTTCCCTCATTTTGACGGGTCCGTCGGTGCGAACCCACTTCTGACGTGTGGACACTTCACTCGTCAGTGAAGAAAACGCTGAGTGATCCACAATGCGATGATGGCCAAATTTCAGCATAGAATTGGCGGTGACGCAGCAATCACAAGTCAAGAGCTGGACAAGGCTGTACGGAGGCCAGCCGGCAGGAGGAAAGCCACAACAGTCACACAGAGACCATCCACTGATTCGAAGATATGGGGAATGCTCTCCACGGTGGACGCCGGGTCAACCATGTCAAACACGAGGCACACGTAAGATCATCAGCACAGCCGCGTCAAGTGAACCAACTCAAGGTGACAGACTGCGGTTCGGTGAGGGGAAACCGGACAGCCGTGATATACCTCCCAAGTGGAGGGTACCGGATCCCAGATCAGCATGCTGGCAGCCCCAGGGACGGACCGATATGAGACAGAACCTCCATTAGTCCTCACAGTGGAGTTCAAAGCAGCAGTCCATTGAACAGCCTTTTCAAGGGGGAGGTGTACGGAGGCCAGCCGTCCCTAATAACTGAACTGTGTTAAGTGCAGGACACGGGGCAAACGAAGGCATGCCCTGATTGGCCAGAATGCCAGCCAATCCGAATCAAGCACCTGTGACTAGACGCCTCTCGCCCCCTCATGGAGATTCTGGCACGACCTAGTGGAACACTGTGACTGCCCTATAAATACAGTTGTAATAATTTTCCTTTGGTGTCCATAAAGGACGGTATGAAACCACCGAGCCTTTTGATATACCATAGTGGGCGGAGCAGGAAGCCAAGGGACCCATACAGAGTTGCACTACCGTCCAGCAAGACGCAACAAAGGCAAAGTGTGAATGTCGGAACTATGCATATATTCGGACAGATAAATGACAATAAAAGAAAGGCAACACGATTGGAAGACAGAACCAGAGTGGGAACAGATTATCTGGATGAGAAATAAAATGCAAGTATCAATTAGAGCCGTGGACAGTGTCAGTCAATCAGTCTACTTTGTTCGACACGGCCGCCGCCAACTCGAAATAGCGACGAAATCGATGGCGTAGTAGGATGACGAAATTTCGCATATCCGACGTCAAATTCAAATGATTGACCAAGCGTTCGAAATCAGGCACGGGCGGATTGCACTTGACAGGCTCGTATCGACCGATTTTGTTGTAACGTAACTGGCACGAACACACAATATCCGGAGCAGCTGGTCCGGAACAGCCATAGAACAACAGCTGAAGGGAATTGGACGTGGTACGTTGGAGACGCATGCCAAACACTCGCTCGAGTTGTCCCACCGTCTCGCTAAGATGTGTCAAATTGGACGAGAGATATTCGTCGGAAAATGTATCAGTCTCTTTCGGGGTCGCGTTCAGTTCTTGTTTTTTGTCCAGCTCCCGTTTGCGTCCCTCCTGTGTGTGTGCGTGAGTGGAAGAAAAGGAAAAAGAAAGCGGTGGGAAAAACAATTTCAGAGTTATGCGATGTGGTCTCACACAAGCACATAGTGTTGTTTTGTGGAACCATTAATCATGAGCAGCTGAAATGCTCTCAAAACGGTGTGGAGCCTCAAGGCTGGAGGAATTCGGGCTCTTCCTGAGAACATTCTTTCGTAGGAGATCAGTCTTCTCAGCTGCATATCCATACAAAAAGAGTCGAATAATTCATTACTTTCTAATTAAGTAGTTATATGCTTTCTAAGCAACGCACACCGTCATGCGGCACAGGAGTTGAATAGGCTGGCTCCTTAAGAACCTCCTGCAACCTGTCTGGAAGTCAAGACTTTTCTTTACAGTGAAGAGAATACTTATGGGATCAAACAAAAGCACCCCACCGTAAAAAATACTCTAAACCGGGTGTGACCTACTTCATCAGGGCAAAATCTAAAACATAAATCTATCTAGGTCTTTTAAACTGACGTTTACCGATCGTGTTCTAGAACTTTCGCATGGAAGTGCATCTGGAAAATCAAACGAGCGTGAAAACTTGTGGCACTGACTGCCGCCCTCTCTCGACGATTCTACGGACTCAATAGGATCATCTGCAAGCCACAGTGCGATAAAAAATGATAATATAATGGTGAATGAATCGAATTGTTCAGCTGCAGCACCCTTCCGGTGCCTAGCTGCCATGCCATCCAAAGGAAACAAGAGAGCTGGGATACTGCCAAGTTGCCCAAGCCTAGATAAGAGCAGTCAAGATGCAGACATCGGTTTCAAACTAGGGACCCTCCGGTCAGTAAGTTCGCACCTTGACCACTGAGTCACTGCCGATGTCGTTNATATATATGTTTTGGTGGGCGCCTTTCAACACCAAAAGATTGTCCTCGGTGAAACTGAAAGTAGATTTACCTAGAAACGCTACACGGTTGGTTTCAGCATCTGTGATGCGTCAGCCTACTGCACTCGAAATGGTACACCGGACTTTCATAGCAAACGTTTCACGATGATCTATTCAACTATCCACACTTGCAAACACGAATTTAGTTTCGATAGAAACTTCAACTGAATTTCTCGTTTGTGACGGTCCGCTTCAACTGAATGTGCTGCAAAGGGCCACCTCATGTTTCACTCGCTACGATATTCCAGATGTTGCAACACGTTGCTGTTTAGATGAATTGTACGAAATTCGAGAAGTACACTCATATATATTTAAATTTGTTGAATTTCGTACAAACAAGGTTGACGGGAACTGGGAGAACGCACCTGCCTGATGAGCCCCAAGAAGGGGGAAACCGGTAGTGGGCTGGCCGAGCGTTTTCAACAACCTTGTGGGTATTAGTGAAGTACTCTCATTTGCAAACAAATTTGGTTCTGCGAGAGACTCACCTGGAACCCAGCTGAATCTTTCAGTTTCGATGTTTCCAGACAACTGACTGTGCTACACTAGGCCGCCTCGTATTTTAATCGGCACGATATTCGAGATATCGCGATAAAGATATCTTTCTAGTGCAGTACTACTCATAAGGTTGCTGAAAACTCCTCGACGGCCCACTATCAGGTGCCTGGAAGTATCGAAACCGAGAGATTCAGCTGGGTTCCAGTTGAGTCCCTCGCAGAACCAAATTCGTTTGCAAATGAGTGTATTTCGCTAATTTCGTGCAATTTGGTTCTAAGTAGAGCATAAGCTTGACGGAAACTCGAGGTCTGCGCCTATCTGATGAGCCCCGAGAAGGGCGAAACCGGTCGTAGGCTGTCGAGTAGTTTTCAGCAACCTTATGAGTAGTGCTTCATGAATGTTATTCGTGAACATGATCACGAGCAGTAAATCCCCGGTAGCTTAGGATACCCTACCAAACCGAATCATACTGGATAAGCGTGTTGGTTGATATTTCCAAAACTGCAGAGAACTTGCAGAAGTCAAGAAAAAACACCGATCATGAAAATAAGTTAACTAAACAGAGCAACGGTGGAGCCGAGCGAAACCCGATATCATTAGGAAAGGAAAACAGTTCAAGTATGAATCTGTCGTGCAAAAGTTCTCTGACAGCTCAATACTAAAGCCAATACATATCGTTGACAGAGTGAATTCAGGTTTGAAGTGTATACCTGAGACTACGAGTATGAGTCCCCGAGATTTAGTTACCTCCACTCGGCTGTCGTATTGATCGTTTCGAACACAAAGTTTCTGAGCGGAGTTTTTATTGCTCAGGGTTTCGTTACCTCGGGCGAACCTTGTCAGGGGCAAAGTGATTAAAGCCACACAGACAAGAAAACGCGTGCCGATGGATGCCAATATTAAAACAATAATTATTCATTGCGCCACCCTGACAAATCAGGTTAATGTTTGGTTTGTGCGGAGGTTGGGAGAGCCACGTGACTGTGCATGTTTTGTGCTGCTGCTCAGTAGCGGTTGGCTTTGGTTGAACTTCGCCTTGCGGCTAGTTCAGCTGAGAATACAAATGGCTTGACTTGGCTGAAGCGACACGTGTCGTATCTACTCAGCGTCGATCCGGTTTTTGATGTACGTACTTTACCCACGTACTGTACGTTTAATCGTTCATCAAAGACAGAGCTCACATGATCGCTCTGCAGTTGGCTAGAGACGTCGTTCAGCTGTAGAACCCTTCCGGTGACTAGCTCGCATGCCACCCGGAGGAAGCAAGAGCACTGGGATACTGTTAGGTTGCCCAAGCCTAGACAGGGGAAGTCGAGAGACAGAGGTCGGGTTCGAAACACGGACAACCGGTCAGTAAATTCACGCTTTAACCACGGTTACCATTTCGCCAGAGACATTGTAATTTGTGGTTGCAAGAACTGGGTGTTAGGAGACGTAGGAACCTGTAAATATTTGCATTAAGATGGCACTATACCCATCGTCTCTCCCAGCACGTTTGATCTTTCCAGAATGACATTCCTCAAATAGAACAACTGCATGGTTGCACGGTGACTAAAAGTCGGCGCTTCATGTTAAAGGTAACTTCAATTCACGAAACAAAAAAGCCCTGTATGACTGCAACACTACCAATAAGACATGAAAATAAGGTAATCGTTCAGTTGTAGAACCCTTCTGGTGCCTTGCTGGCATGCCACCCGAAGGAAGCACGAGGGCTGGGATAATGCCCAGCCAGGTTGCCTTAATCTAGAGAGGGGAAGTCGAGAGGCAGAAGTCGGGTTCGAAACACGGACCTTCCGGTCAGTAAATTCACGCTCTACCCACTAAGCCATCTCGAATGCCATCGGACTTCGTACTATTCCATAACCGATCGCACTGGTTGCTTTAAATCATCTTCACTGAACCTAAGGTCTGTGAGTGCATTCCCCTGATTCACTCGGTCACAGGATTCATTTGAGGTTTAATCCGTTTCATAATCTTTCCATTTCCCACAAAACTGAGACACTACATGGGATGTGTATGATGAGCGACTGCTTGCAGCTCAGAGCTGGTGGATCGGGGGAGGAATCCCAAAACCCTCATCTGTGTGTGAAAACAGAAAAAAATAACAGAGAATCAACTTACTCGCAAAGTGCTAAGGTGGTTGATTGATGCGCGCAGCTCCTTAATTGTTCGCTTGATCTCCGTCACACGGTCAAGCAAAACATCTAGTTCCCCTTCGTCTTTTGCCATTTGAGAATGCATCAGATTCAAATGCTCTCGCAGATTCTCCTCATCCGCGCTTGCGCTAAGTTTCAGGTCATGAAAATAATCAATATCAGACTGAAGTAGCTGAAGATGAGTAGCTGGATTACGGAACGTAGAACTCCAGTCAGCAGTCGACGAGGAACTCATCATTGAGGATTCGTCCGGTCTAGGGTTGCTGCGGTGTGACATTGCGGCTTAAAGGGAAGAGATCAACGAACAAACCGTCGCAATGTCAGGGACCTCGAAAATGTTCAGAAAACGTGGTCGAAAGTGGTGCTGAAAGTGGTGAGGACAGCACTGAATCAACAAAAACGTCCAGATAGATTACTCCCCCATTTCATGGGAAGGTTAAGAATAAATAGTATTTTTTTCGTTGCTAGAAGTAGCACTGTGATTGTCCCCAAAATAGTTGAGCTTCTGGGAACTCGAAAGCTTTGTCCAAATGGTGTCCTCCAACGGCGTGCCGGCCCCAAACTCAAATCGATCGCATTGCTATCGGTTACCGATGGTATGGATCGATGACTGATTGCAAGTCCTTTTGGGACACATTCGTGGATTCCGAAGTCACTTGCCCCTACATTTTCCAGGGCCGCGTAAGGTGCGGACAAATCGCTTGGCAGCTGAGAGAATGGCAGATCCGGATTTAGACGAACTTACCAGAATAGTTTTCTAGAGTCTGTTTGTCCGGAGGCCAGCCACCCCTAATAACCGAACAGCACGTCCATCAGACGAACGATCACGTGCGGGCTACGGACCAAGTGAAGACGTACCCTGATTTGTCAGAATGCCAGCAAATCTTGCTCGAGCATCTTAACTGGAGGCTTCTCGCCCCCTCACGGAGATTCTAGCACGGTCTTGTGGAACATCATAATTTCCCTATAAATAAAGTTGTAGTAATATTTCTTTGCCTAAAAAAACGGCTGTCTGAAGCTACTGTGCCTTTTGACATAGTGGAAAGAAAAAGAAAGAAAGCGTTCAGCTGTAGCACCCTTCCGGTGCCTAGCTGCCATGCCACCCGAAGGGAGCACGAGGGCTGGGATACTGTCAGGTTGCCCAAGCCTAGACAGGGGAAGTCGAGAGGTACAGGTCAAGTTCCAACCACGGACCTCCCGGTCAGTAAATTCTCTAACTAACCACTTGAGCCATCTCGCCGAAACGACTAACGGTTTTGCTGTTGATCAACAGAAAAACTGATCGTCCAAAAGGGGGTATTGAAAGAGCTACAAACAGCAACGGTCGAAATTTTCGCCCACGGGGGAAAAACTTCGCCCCATAAAGATAAAAGGCACGAGCGAACCGGGCTCCCACGGGGCGAAAAAAACCTGCAAACGAAAAGCATCACCCGAAACCATCAAGATAGGAAGCAGACGAGTATGGCCCGGAAGCTCCTTTGGAGCCTTCAACTCAAACTCAACGTACAGCCATTAAGTCTGCTAATCTCCCTGGTCACACAACTCTCGGGGGGAGCAGAGACAGTGTTGAAATGCCCATCCACAAACTGCCTCAGCCTTTTCAACAAACTCGGCGATATTAAACAGTCACTGTGCCTTAAACAGCCGTCCATAATCGCAGTCACAGAGACCTGGCTTAGACCAGATGTCTCTGACGCGAAGATCTCGATGGAGAGCTGACTCAAAAAGAGGGAGGGCTGGTAGGGTTGCTCTGTACTTACATGCGGCCCTACCAATCCCGATTGCCTCTCCGACACCATCCTTGCACCCTTTTGCGATGCACTGTGGGTCCAAATCCCGCTGCGCGGGTCCGATTCTCTCCTTTTCGGCGTGGTCTACCGTAGTCTTTCGAGTCCCCCTGAAGATGACCAGTTCTTCATACAAACCCTTGAGCAACTCTCCTCCAACTACCACTTC